TTTTTTTTCAACGTTTTTTATTTATTTTTGGGACAGAGAGAGACAGAGCATGAACGGGGGAGGGGCAGAGAGAGAGGGAGACACAGAATCGGAAACAGGCTCCAGGCTCTGAGCCATCAGCCCAGAGCCCGACGCGGGGCTCGAACTCACGGACCGCGAGATCGTGACCTGGCTGAAGTCGGACGCTTAACCGACTGCGCCACCCAGGCGCCCCTCAAATCACTCTTAACAAGGAGAACATCCCCCCACCTCAACGTTTCTCCCTCCCTCCCAGAGACATCCCCTGTTTCTCCAGTGGACCCTGTTCTATCACCCATGTATTCCTCAGCCTCAAGATTTCCCCTTCTCTGTTCAACCAGGGCCTTCCTGACAAAACCCTTCTTTTACACTTGCTCCCAAATTCCCTTCCAGAGTCTTCCCTAAAAACCCTCTGAATGCTCACTTCTGTCACTTGGCCCACCTGGAGTGGGCCAGGTTCCTTGCTGCAAAGTTCCTGTTTTTCCCTTTATAATTAATAAGCAGTTTGTGGGGAAATACTTTGAGACAATGTAAATGTCCTGTTTTGGGGAGGACAGAGAGCAGAAGAATAGTGAGTCCTGCCTGAAGGGACAGGCCAGGGGCTGGGCATGGATTGAGGGTGAGGTGGCCAACCAAACTTTGTCCTATTTTATTATGTTGCCTTTTAGTCCTTAACACCCTTCTCTCTTTGATCTTCTGGGCCTTTCTTTTGTCTTGCTTTCCCATTTCCACACTCTGTATCAACAGCACTTCCCACGGGGCCCAGGTTGCTGGGACTCCAGTCCTTTTCCATATTGCTTTCTAGGTAAGACCCTGCTTCTCCTTCTTGACTGTAGACGCGGATCCATCCAGGTTGAATCCCGGCTGTGCTTCTTACACACTGGGCGACCTGGGGCCAATAACTTAATCTCTCTGTGCTGTATACAGATTTTACAGCATAAAACCAATAATGGCCTTCACAGGACTATGGACAGACTTAGACAAGGTAAACCATATAAAACCCTTAGAACAGTGTGTAGCAGTTACTAAGTGCTCAGTATCATTATTAGCAGACCTAGAGCCTTTCTCCTATCACTTTTCCCTCCCTGATACCACCACATACCCGGGTCTTGGTTCCTTTCGCTCTTTGGCCGGGGCTGCCTCTACCTCCTCCACCCCCACCTTCCCATGTCTGCCTTCTTTCTCCTCCTCCAGTCTCACCTTTAAGTTCACTTTATTTACTTGGATGTGGATTATATCGAGTTGTAAATGTGGGACAGGGTGAGCTCAAAGTTCTACTCTGTCATTTTCCCCAACCTCTAAGTTCAGGGTTTTTTTTTTAATCTGTATTTTTTAATGGATTTTTAAATTTAAATCTGTATTCCTTTTTTTTTAAGTAAGTTCTATGCCCAATGGGGGCTTGAACTCACAACCCCCAGATGAAGAGTCACATGCTCTATGGATTGAGCCTGCCAGCCAGGTGCCACTTTCACTTTAAATGGTAGAGTTGATATTTCTCTATCTTAGCACCCTATCCTTCAGAAAACTGCATATTTTGTAATTGTAATTCTGTCTCCTCCACTGTAAAAACAGCATGAGAGCAAAGGCTAAGTCTCTATGGTCACCACTGGCTCACCCAGCATTTGCCACATTTAGAGGCTTTCAGCAGATACAGCGGTACCCCACAGATCACTTACTAATTACAAAGTGGAGGTCACTGATTTAACTACCAGTCAAATTTAACATCATCAATAAGGGACCGACTGACCCTGTGATGTGAGGCACCAAGCAGGGACATGGCATCTGCCCCAAATGCTTGACTTGAATCTAATTATGAGGACACAATCAGACAAATCCAAACTGGGAACATTTTGCAAAACAGCTAAGCCTGGATCTCTTTAAAAATATGAGTGTCACAAGAGAAGACAATACAAAACAAAACTCTGGAGTAGTTCTTGATTACAGGAGCCTGAGAGATATAACTAAATGAAGCATGTAATTCTGGGTTTGATCCCAAATGAAAAAGGTAGGAAGGAAAGGAGGGAAGGCAGGGGAAGGGGAGGAGGGAAGGAGAAAGAATACAGCAAAAAGGACCCTAAGGAATGGGACTTCTGAGGCTATTTGAATATAGGATGTACATTACATAATGGTACTGCATCAGTGTTAAATTTTATGAGTGTGAGGATTATATTGTGGTTATACAAGAGAGTCTCTTGATCTCAGGAGTTACATGCCAAGTGTTTAAGGATGAAGTGTCATACCATCTGCAACTTATTCTCAGATGGTTCTCCAGAAAAACCTGGGTTCCCAAGAGCACAAGCATTCATGGGGAGAGGGGAGCAATTAAGCAGAAATGTTGACAGTTGTAGAATATGGTTGAAGACCACATGGGCTTGCAACTTTTCTATGGATTTGAAAATTTTCAAAACAAAAACTGGAAGAAGATACATAAAGCATTTATGGAGTAAGCGGACTTTGGAATTTGAGTCTAAAGCCTGCAAACCTCTCTAAATGTCTTTCACACAAGAAGACACAAACATTCTCAAGCTCTTAACACAGCATTTTGATTTTTTTCCTGACAAGTCCCTGTGAATCAGTCTAGGCCAGAGGTTTTTAATCCTGAGCCCTTGGAGGGGCACCGGGATGGCTCAGTTGGTTAAGCATCCAACTTTGGCTCAGGTCATGATCTCACAGTTGGTGAGCTCAAGCCTGGCGTCGGGCTCTGTGCTGACAGCTCAGAGCCTGGAGCCTGCTTTGGATTCTGGGTCTCTCTCTCTCTCTCTCTCTCTCTCTCTCTCTCTCTCTCTCTCTCTCTCTCTCCTGTCTCTCCCCTGCTCTCTCTCTCTCAAAAAAAAAAAAAAAACTTAAAAATAATAATAAATAAATGGGGAAAAAATCCTTAGCCCTTGGACAAGCTTCCTGGGTTCCAGGAACCCCTGACATGCTAGGCAAAATGTGTGGGTCACTGCGTGTTTGTGTGTATGTGTGTATGTTTGTGTATTCTTTCCTTAGCATCCACCAGATTCTCAAAGGAGGCTGTGACCCAAAAATGGTTCCAAACCACTGGTCTGACTACTAGGTCCAATCCCTGCAGGGGCCCCATTCCTTGCCTCCACCCCCTCCTACCTCTGACCCCACACACCCTCCCTGCACCTTCCTCTTATCCCTCGTCACCTAACCCACACCCATCTCACGTAACCTGCTCTCACACCTGCCAGGATGCTGAGGGTTCACCCACACATCGCTCTGGTGCAACACACTCCTGGATTTGGCTGACGCTTCACTAACTCAGCCCTGAAACATGCAGCCTATACTTCCACGGCCACACAGAGTATGTTTTTATGATTTTTTGGTGGGTAGATTGGGCTCCCCATGGCATCAGTGGAGACTTCCTGCCAGCCCACCATACAGTGTCCTTGGTGTGAATTAAGATTGGCAATTGAGGTTGGTACAATGCAGTCCTCACTGGATTGAGTCTCCCTTGGATATTAAGAGGTACAGGTGGATGGCTCTGCAGGGTTAGGTTACAGTGAACCAGAATCGTCTTCTCCTAGTTACCCTGTGGGTGTGGGTTTGGGGTTGAGTACGATTCAGGGTTACACAAGGGGGAATGAAAGAGAACATCTTGGGTCACATAGCCCAACAATTTCATACCAACTCTTATGCTTCCAAATTCTATACACACACACACACACACACACACACACACACACACACACACCACAAAAATTTAAAGACCTCAGAACACCTTCTATCTTCACAAAGTCTATTTCTAAAACATTTGAGAGATTAATAGGCTTATTTTTTAATGTTTATTTATTTTGAGAGACAGAGAATTTGAGCAGGGGAGGGGCAGAGAGAGAGAGGGAGAGAGAGAATCCCAAGCAGGCTCCATGCTTAGTGCCCGACGCAGGGCTTGATTCCACAAACCATGAGATCATGACCTGAGCTGAAATCAAGAGTTGGATGCTTAACTGACTGAGCCACCCAGGTGTCCCCATATAGGCTTTTATCTTATATGGCTGATTCTAAGAACTTAGCTTAAGGAAATAATATAAATTATGAGCAAAGAATTATTAAGAGTGGTGACAATTTGTGTGTTCAATATCACTGAATCCTGCAAAAACCCTGAGGCTAAAACCCATTGAATTTATACTTTAAAAAAATTTTTTAATGCTTACTTATTTTTGAGAAAAAGAGGGAGACAGAGCGTGAGTGGGGTGGGGGCAGAGACAGAGGCAGACACAGAATCCGAAGCAGGCTCCAGGCTCTGAGCTGACAGCACAGTTGGACACTTAACCAGCTGAGCCACCCAGGCACCCCCAATTTATACTTTAAATGGGTGAATCATATGGTAAGTGAAATGTATCTCAAGAAAACTGTTAAAAAATCCTGAGACTGGAGTTGTAACGATCCTGTTTTTGCAGTTAAGGAAACTAAGACTCTAAAGACGTGGGTAATTGAGGCAGAGTCTGGATTTGAACTAAGGCCTTTCTGACCACCA